ACCCACACCTACAAAACAAGGGGTGTTCAGGTTTTTTTTTAAAGGCGAGGTTCAAAAAAATGCTACAAGTTTAAGCAGACGAAATTTTAATTGTAGCACCCTTAAAACAAACATTGCTTATTCTAAATACGCGCCAGAATAAAAAGAAGTTTTTTTTTCTGGAAGTGTAAATGCATTTGAAGTGTTTATGCATATCGATCTGTTGTTGCGGGGCTTATTGTATATTTATGAAGGCGACCTCAGAATGTACGTGTATGAACAAGCATTCTTGAAATGGGTCGTTGGAAGTGTATTAGGGCCCCTGTTATTTATTATGTATATTAATGATTTGCGACGTGTTTTACGATTTTGGGACATTAATCTTTTTTCAGATGATCCTGTGTTATTCATTGCAGCTAAGGATTTAAATGATACTGTTTTACACTTGAATGAAGATTTGCGTTCTCCAAGTAGATGGTTGAAGTATAAGCAGTTGAAATTGAAAACAAGTAAAACTATATTTATGGTAATTTCACGGAATCGAGTTAATGAGAACGTTTCTGTTGTAATTAGTTATCAGACTTTTGATCGCGTTCGGGAGATTAAATATCTTGGCGTGATTATTGATGACACAAATAAGTTCAACTCTCACATTGACAATGTCATCAAGAAAATTGCCAAGAAGTATGGATTTTTTTATATCTTTATTAAGAAGACTTTTAGCCCTGGGCTGGTTCGTCTCCGGACACCCCAGAAGGAGGTATCCCAAAGGGAGAGAAGGTACAGAGTTTTTATTTTGTGGAGTTGAATGGTGGTTGCGGTTCCAGAGGGGAACATATTTTGCCTTACTGTCCTATGTTGCTGTCATCTTTTGTGTTTTTTGTTTTGTTTTGAGGACTCCAGCAGAGCCCCACCGGTAACAGCTACCAGTAGAGACCTGGCACCCGCTATCGGCAGGGAATGCCGGGCCTACTGTAATAATATATATGGGTTAAACCTTCTTGTAGATTCCGGCCTCCTTCGCGAAACATATCAGTTGTGCCTCTGCTACCGGGTCGTTCTTAAGGGCGTCTTGGATATTGCCCGGGATCCCGTAAAGTTCTCGTGGTCCGTGGAAACAAGGGCAGTTTATTAGAATGTGCTCGACCGTCATTATTGTTCTGCAGGTGTCGCATCTTTGGCGGAAGTTTCTGCCACTGCTGCTCCCCATGTTGTGGGTGATGCGGGTGTGGCCGGTTCTTAACCGGGACAGGAATCTCTGGTCGTTAAACCTTGGGACATCCGTCCAGGGAAGGGTTACCCCTTTGGTCTTCCGGATGAAGAGGTCTCTCCTGGTGAACCATTCGCGGTCCCATGCCGTCCTGAGGGTTGACTTGATCCAAATTTTCAGGTCCTGTCTGGGGACCGAAGTGTTGGCGAGTCGGCCATTTCGTCCAATGGCTGCGAGGTGGTCTGCTTCTGTGTTTCCAGCAATTCCACAGTGTCCCGGTATCCACATGAAAGTGGTGCCAGGGAGGGTGTGGTTTTGTATGGCCTGAATCCAGGGGTGGCGGGCGGTGGTGGATTCCAGTGCCGCGAGGGCCCTAGCAGAGTCGGTTAGTACACATAGCGGTGAGGATGATGGTAGGGAAGCTGCGTAATGGAGGGCTGCAGTCTCGGCCGAGAAGACCGAGCATTGATCGGGGAGTCTCCAGAAGTGTGAGGTCTGTCCATCAGTTACTCCAAAGCCGACCCTGCCTCCTGCCTTGGAGCCGTCGGTTGAAACGGAGTTCGTAGTTGTGGTACCGTGTTTGTAATAATTAGGTGAGGCAGGATCTCATTGCCGTAGAGTTGTCCCCTGCTCGGAACTGCTTGGCCATGGATTTGTCCACTCGGATGGGGGAAGAATCTCACTCTCTGGCTCCGTTCCAGTGTAACTGGGCCACCGGGGGGAGCTCCTGGTGAGCGATTTCCTCGAGGATTCGTTTCCCTTCTGTGAGGAGATAGAATTCTCCGTCTCCGCTTAATTTTTCGTCGAAAGTATGGAATTCTATGTCGACTGAAAAACGATTTAACTATTGCCAGTAAAATACAGCTATACAAATCAATCATCTCTCCTCATCTAGACTTTTGCCCTTCCATTTTATGTTTGCCAATGCAACACAAATATCGAGATTACAGCGCTTGCAGAGTAAAATAATGCGTTTGATTTTGAGATGTAATAGATTCACTTCGTCAACTTTGATGCTAGACGCCTTACAATGGTTGTCGGTGAAGCAAAGAATTGTATATTTGACTGTGGTGTTCATTTTTAAAGTAGTTAACGGTTTGCTGCCTCAATATTTGTGTGATCGAATTGAAAGAGGAAGTGATTTTTATAGATATAATACTAAAAACGCGGTTGAATTAAGAGCACCACATTTCTTGACTTGTGCTTCACAAAGTTCATTATATTATAAAGGAATAAATGTTTTCAATTCGATGCCTAGACAAATCAACCGTTTAGCATTTCTTACAGAATTTAAAAGACACTGCATTTCACACGTTAAAACTGTCTTTTGAACAGTAATCCAGTGATTTTTTTGTATGAATTGACAAATTTTGTATCTTGACGAAGTTATCTCTAACGGATTATTTTGTATGGATAGCTGTCATAACGACTTTTTAATAATTATTGTAGCACTGCAAACACTATTTCTGTTCGCCACGATGGTGATGATGGATTTTTATATTTGATTTAATGGTAGTAGATTAAAAAAAAAGTAGTCTACAAAGGTTTGAGCCTCGCGCGTGTATTACGGATATAGAGGACTGAATTTAACATTTGATAAAAAAAAATGCAATTTTGAAGATTATTTGGAAGATACCTTGAGTTAGTAGTAAGTTTTCTGGCATATGACGGGGGTTCGTGAGCATTCCTGACATTGCTGAAAATTATGATAGCATCAGTTTGCGGGGTTGCTAGTGTAATAGGATGCTTTGTTTATTGTTCATTAACTCTTGATTGCTTGTAATCAGTGAATCCAAACACATTAAGCATCCAACGATACAGACAAAATGGTTGATACAACTACCATGACAAAACTCGCTCTGTAACAACGCTCGATCGGAGTGGTAGAAAGATAATAATATATTGCTTGCCTGCTTTGTTGCAATATACACGGATGAGGACATATGTAGCTTGATATGAATCGAGAAAATACATAACAAAAACATTCCCATTAACACACGTGTATCATCTTCGGATTTACTTCGTGAATCAGCTTTTCAACAATTTGCTCATTTCCTTCTACCGCCCCGAGTGGACTGTTTCGCATGAGCTGCTTGTCATAAAAAATCAAGAAGATTATATCATTATTGCTTTCCACTTCTGACATAGCTTTATCATTCGGTTCGTTGATCGCTTGTCAATTTTTGATTCCTTGCTTGTAATACTTATGAATATTTAGGGTGGACAAAAAGGCGAACTTTGAGGTGGACACCTGAGCTTTTGCATATTTATATCACTGTGAAGCAACTGTTAACTCTAGAGAGAATTTATATCTGTAACTGAAACCAGTTCGATTTTGTTTGCTAACCTGGTTAAAATGTCATATTTAATTATCTTAAAGATAAATCGTCCAGCTCAATCCTTTGTAGGGGTAATAAGAGGGACCATCATCATCATCATCATGAACAGTAGAGCTATCACATTTCATCTCCAAGGCTATTAATGTTTGCATCTATGTATCATCATAAATGACGTTATAAGTTAGTTTCTAAATGGTTCATTATTCTTGTGACCGAACCGTCATCCGTTAGTATCTCAAAACTTTTCCAGAAATAAACGGTATCGATGGAAATTTGGACTGAGTCCAAAAAAAAACAAAATGTCATAAAACTCTTTTTCTGCAATCAGTATTAATAAAGGAATAAGCTAAAAATAAACAGAAGCTTCTCCGGGCCACTGTACTCACTTTACTTCCCCATAAATCAAAAGGCGTTCCGGTCATCAATGGTGCAAATAATATTCCACTCCCCGTCTCACTTACTTCTCGGAATCAATCAACACCGGGAAATCAAACTGAACGGGTTTCCTTTTTCGGGAGCCTCCAAGGCACTGAACAACCACTCTTACAAACATAGCAAGGATGGTTGGTAGGTGCTCACCACCATTTGCCTACAACGTGCACCGAACCCAAATCCGATAACGATTCAATTGGTTCGATCAACAGCGTTCGTTGGCTTTTCGGCTTCCCGGAAAATATTGTCAAAATTTGAATTTTTACCCGTCTTCGTCCTTCCTTCACAATCAGTCCCTTGTGGTCGGAAAGTGTGCTTAAAAGCTCCAAACCAGTCTGTCAGGTTTCCAGCTTCTTCTTTGCCGTTGGCTGGAAGGGCAGACTGCGATACTTGTCCTAGCGTGATACGCCAAACACTTTGACTTTGATTTCATGCTGCAGAATATGATACATCAACGGCCAAAAATGTGGTGCTTCTTTTGAACCGACTCACCGCCCGACCACCGGGACAGAGTAAACACATCGTTGTAACCGAGAGCTTCCTTCCCAGTTTGATAGTATCGTTGTTATCGTTGTCAGTTTGATTGCAGCGCAACCAAGCTGTGGCCGCTTGCGGGTATTTACACTTGAACGATTCCTTCCGGGTATTTTCGCCAGAATATAAACGAAAAAATGCCATGGGAAATGAGATTCTGATTGAAATTTTCAATACCCTCTGCTTGTTCTGTCAGCTGTTCAAGCGAGAAATGTGTGAGTTGATTTACCTCTTCGCTTTTCCCCTCATCATCGGGTGCTGTGTACAGATTTGAATGAAACATGCATAGGCGACGGAAAAACGGAAGATGAGAAGTGTCAACAGTTTGAAATTAATATATTTTCGCTTTTTGTGTTCGGTCGGACTTCTGCCGCATGCCTGATTCTCAACACGAGTTCAATCGAAACGTCCATCAAAAAAGAGGTTCCCGGAAGCGAGAGAAAAATGAAATATTAGAATAACCATGTTTTTTCTTTCATCTGTTTTGCTTTTCCCCACCATTCCAGTACTGTTTGACAGACCGACAGCTCAACTCGATAGAGCAGCCGCGGAGGGAGCGATTTTTCGGCTGTTGGTCCGGACGGAATGCACATCAGTCCTTTCTGGGGGTGTGCGTGGGTCGAAGGGCGCCGTCCGATGAGAACCTCACAGACTACGCACCGATGCAGCGGTATCCCAGGTGAGTTCATTTTTATGTTGGAATGACATGAATTTCAGTACAATGGACGCGAAATTCAGTTAAATCGAACGCAATTTTAATCTAGATGATTTTCAGTCCGCATCGTGCTCTCTTGCCGTGCGGATCTATTTGCTTTTTGCTTAAGGAAGTGTTACTACTACCTAAAGCTACAACAAATTTAAACAGCACTTTTCAGTGCTCAACCTGTAAAAAATTTCTACCTTGTTCAACTCCTCTTATTCCTCTTCGATCCTTGTTTGGACCCTACCCGAGGTAATCCTTCTTGGATATCGATTTGGAAAATTCCTCTTCGATCCTTCAGATTCTTATAGTAATCTGCTTGGAAGTCGATTTGGATAAAACATTTATTGCCGCCATGGCGCCTAAACGCAAAAGAAAGGGGCAAACTCTTGACCCCCCTTCTGAAGAAATTAATTTGAGTAATCAATTTGATTTGCTCACGGATGATGAGAATGATCCATCATCCAAGAAAAATTCTAGTAAACTTTCCCGGCTTAATGCCAAGAAGGAAAAGATTCCCCCTATTGTGATAACCACTACCGATTTCCATGCTCTTCGCATGGAACTTTTGAATTTCGTGAAAGTTAAGTTTTCACTACAAATTGGACGTCGGGGTGAATGCCGTGTATTGGCTGAAACCTTGGACGGATTTAAATGTCTTCTCAAGTATCTTACTGAGAAGAAGCACAAATTTTTTACTTACGACACCAAAACTGAACGTGTGTTCAAGGTTGTCATGAAAGGACTGCCCAGTGGTGAATCCCTGGATCAGATCAAAGATGAACTGGCAAAATTACTTGGAGTTGTGCCACTCCAAGTAATCAAAATGAAAATGAAATCCCGTCCTGGCGATTCGCGCAACGGGATTTCTAATGATTTTTATTTAGTTCACTTCAAGTCTAGTGAACTAAACAACCTTAAGGCCTTAGAAAAAGCTAGCCTTATGCTCCATGTCCGAGTGAAGTGGGAACACTTCAGGAAGACTGGAGGAAATTTCCAAAACCTTACCCAGTGCCGTAAGTGCCAGGGATGGGGTCACGGAACTAAAAATTGCTACATGCCAGCTAAATGCATGAATTGTGGTGATTCCTCTCACGCAAAGGACGACTGTCCTGTGAAGGAAGATCCTAAGAAATTTAAATGTTCAAATTGTGGTGAAAACCACAAATCCAATTTTTGGGAATGTAAGACTCGCAAAGCGATCCTACAATCTCGTTCTAACCGACAGGTAGGAAACGCTCCACGTTTCCGACCAGGTACACATTCCTCTGCTGTTAACAACGGTCAGCGAGGAACAAATTCTACATTCGTACCCGTAGGTACAAATATCACCCCTGATTCAAATGTTTCATCTGTACCTACTCCCCTCGCTGCTAACAATGTTCAGCGAGTTAATGGAGCTACCTATGCTGCTATTGCAGCGGGTAGAAATCAAAATACTAACCAACGTTCTAATGGAAATTTTGACAATTTTGACTTAGGAAGCATTACTGCCCCCAAAATGGAATTTTTACAGAATTCATTCATTGACATGATTTCTGATATGCTTAAATCTAACTCCATGTTTGATGCTATTCAAACTGGAGTAAAATTTGCAAATAATATTGTCATGACTTTAAAATTCAGTAATGGATTTTAAAGCATTAAATATTGTAAATTGGAATGCTCGATCTCTTAAAGATAATGAAGACGAGCTATTTAACTTTTTAAGAGTTCATAACGTGCATATTGCCGTTATAACTGAAACGTTCCTTAAACCTGCCCATAAGGTTAAGAAGGACGCAAATTACTTGATTTATAGAAATGATCGTCTTGATGGACCCTGTGGTGGCGTTGCCATCATTATTCATAGACGAATCAAACATAAAATTCTTTCTTCATTTGAAACCAAAGTTTTTGAAACTTTGGGGGTTTCTGTTGAAACAAAATTTGGACAACTTACGTTTATAGCTGCCTATTTGCCATTCCAATGCGTAGGCCAGCAAAAGAATTTTCTCAAGGGTGACCTCCAGAAACTTACCCGTCATAGGTCTAAATTCTTCATTATTGGTGATTTTAATGCAAAACACCGCTCATGGAATAATGCTCAAAGCAATTCCAATGGTAATATTCTGTTTGATAATTGTTCTGCAGGTTATTACACTATTCAATATCCAAACAGCCCAACATGCTTTTCTTCTGCAAGAAATCCCTCCACTATTGATTTGGTCTTAACTGATTCATGTCAACTTTGTGGCCAATTGGTTACCCATGCTGACTTCGGTTCTGATCACCTTCCAGTAAATTTTGAAATATCCCAAGAAATAATTTGTAATCCCAACAGCTCTACTTTCAATTACCATAGAGCTGATTGGGAGCTGTATCGAACATTTATAGAATATAACTTCGATCCAAACATTCCTTTGCAAACCAAAGATGAAATTAATTATGCTCTTGAATCTCTGACTACTTCTATAGTTGAAGCAAGAGCTGCCTCAGTACCAAAATGCGAGGTTAAATTCGATTCAATTATAATAGACGATGATCTTCAGCTCTTGATCCGTCTTAAAAATGTCCGTAGGAGACAATATCAAAGAACACGCGATCCTGCCATGAAAGTTATCTGGCGGGATTTGCAAAAACAAATTAAAAAGCGATTCTCTGCCCTGAGGAACAAAACTTTTGAAAATAATATTTCTAAATTAGACCCGAGTTCCAAACCCTTTTGGAAACTCACAAAAATTTTGAAAAAACCTCAAAAGCCTATTCCAGCGCTTAGAAGGTGGTAAAATTTTGAACACAAATTTGGAAAAAGCTCAGAAACTTGCTAAGCAATTCGAGAGTTCCCATAATTTCAGTTTGGATCTTACTAGTCCTATTGAGAATCAGGTTGCTCGGGATTTTCTGAATATTTTCTCTCGGGAAAATATTTTTGATGATTCCTGGGGGACTGATTTGGACGAAGTAAGGTCTATAACTAAAAATTTTCAAAATATGAAAGCTCCAGGTGATGATGGAATTTTCTATATTCTCATCAAAAAACTCCCAGAGAGTACCTTGTCTTTCTTGGTAAAATTATTTAACAGATGTTTCCATTTGGCATACTTTCCTGATAAATGGAAAAATGCAAAAGTTGTTCCAATTTTGAAGCCGGATAAAAATCCAGCTGAAGCTTCTAGCTACCGTCCAATAAGTTTGCTTTCTTCAATAAGTAAACTTTTTGAAAAGATAATTTTGAATAGAATGATGCTTCACATCAATACGAACTCAATTTTTGCAGATGAGCAGTTTGGATTTCGCCATGGGCATTCAACTACTCATCAACTCTTAAGAGTTAACAATTTAATTCGTTCAAACAAATCTGAAGGCCACTCAACTGGAGTTGCTCTTCTAGACATAGAAAAAGCATTCGACAGTGTTTGGCATGAAGGTTTGATTGCTAAATTGAAAAAGTTTAATTTTCCACTTTATATTATGAAATTAATTCAAAATTATTTAACTGACAGAACTCTTCAAGTAAATTATCAAAATTCCAAATCTAATCGACTACCTGTTAGGGCAGGAATTCCTCAGGGTAGCATTCTTGGGCCTATATTGTATAACATTTTCACTTCGGACCTCCCTGATTTGCCTCAGGGTTGCCACAAATCTTTGTTCGCTGATGACACAGGCATTTCCGCTAAAGGAAGAAGTCTTCGTGTTATTTGCAGCAGACTTCAGAAAAGTTTAAATATTTTCTCTTCTTATTTACAAAAATGGAAGATTTCTCCCAACGCTTCCAAAACTCAACTTATAATATTTCCACATAAGCCCAGGGCTTCCTTTTTGAAACCTAGTAGTAGTCACATAGTCACTATGAACGGAGTTCCAATTTCCTGGTCAAACCAAGTGAAATATCTTGGATTAATACTTGACCAAAAATTAACTTTTAAAGATCACATTGAGGGCATTCAAGCCAAATGTAACAAATATATAAAATGTTTGTATCCTCTTATAAACAGGAAATCCAAACTTTGCCTGACGAATAAACTTCTAATATTTAAACAAGTTTTTAGACCGGCCATGCTTTACGCTGTACCAATATGGTCTAGTTGCTGCACTACCAGGAAAAAAGCACTTCAAAGGATTCAGAACAAAATTCTGAAAATGATTTTGAAGTTGCCTCCCTGGTACAGTACAACCGAAGTACATAGAATTTCGAATGTTGAGACTTTAGCACAAATGTCCAACAAAATAATTAATAATTTCAGGCAAAAATCGTTGCAATCCTCAATTGCAACGATTAATTCCCTTTATACTTAGATAAGATTTAGTTTTAGTGTTTAGTTTTAAGATATCAATTGTTATACTAACATGCAGGTTAAAAAACCTGTTTAAAATACTGAATTGCCAAGACATGAACAATGTTAAAACACTTAGATATATATCATAACAATTAAGGCTGGTACGTTACTGCAGTAACTGGAGCACCTAGGTTAAAATGAAATGTAATTTATTTTGAATTTGGAACAAATAAAGAGTTAAAAAAAAAAAAAAAAAAAAAAAAAATCTAGATGATTGTTTGTCCATCTTGGAATTCTTAACCGTAGATGGCAGGATTGTTGTTTTGAATAATAAATAGCACCGATAAACACCCTTAATCGTACTAACTCAATTTACTTCATAATGAGTAATTCTCCTTGAAACCAGGCCGTCACATGGTCTTTCAATATTTAAATATATCCACTTGGTTGATCGAAAGTGATGAAAACATGTCAGACTTAGCTCAAATTAATGGACCCCTTGGTCACCAAGGGGCCTCAAAGTTTTCTAAAAAGTTATTATGAAGAGGAAGGATAGGGCTTTCATTCGGAATGGAAATTTTTATAGCGGCCATCTTGGATTTTATCAGAAAAACGTATTTTTCACTAGGTTCGCACCGATTTCGATTCTGAGGTCACCATCTGAAAGCTGGTGATGTCAGATACAGATATGAAACAGCCATTTTTCTATGACGAGGT